CTGAAGTCCTCATTCAAGTTTTTCTGCACTCCTTCCTTCTCAGCCATCGGGAACAGATCAAAGCTAGGTGTAAAGCTCCTAATCTCTTCAAGAACTCCCCACAGACGGCGCCAAATGATGGGTCTCTTCTCAGATCTGGAACGGCCTAATGGGAAAACGTCCGGATCTGGGATGAACCGGTGCGAATGATCTTAGATCTGATGTGATGGCGTTCGAACCGTTGTTGAGCCGCAAGAACACCTGCAAGAACTCAACGCCGGAGAGGTTTCTGGCGTAGAGCCTCCGACGCTCAAGTCAGTATGTGAAAGAGATGAAGAGAGCTGCTTTGAGGGAGCAGCAGCCGTAATGGAGAAAGTATAGAATGAATGGGAGTTAGGGTTTTGGAGTTACCTCAGCTCCTTTATATAGAAATGGAACATTCACCTGAAGTCCCCAAAATGCCCCGGCCGACTTACTAGAAATGTCCAAACTACCCTGGTCGGTTCGCATTCCATCCATTTCCTAGTCAGCTTTTAGATCCTTCCTTATCCTTAGCTGCCCCTTCGGTATGCTGAAGTGTATTAGAGCTATCGGGATTTATGGGCTTCCAACCTTTCTCAGTCGACTTGATCCAGTGGACTCGAGTCGACTGGGTCATATTCGATTGTTAGTAGATCCTCACGTGTTTGACTATCTTTCAAGAGGAAATCCACTTTTGGTAGTCGACACGTGGAAGTCGACTGGGAGAGATGCCTGGATCCTTGACCGGAGATACCATAGTCTGCGGACAGAGTCGACTTCGCGTAAGTCAACTCGGTAATCTATGAACCGCGATGGTTATTGAACCGTTACACGACAGTATGGCTATATCAACGGCCGAAGAGATGTATGAGATTTTTGAGACGATGAGTGCTAACTCGTCTCAAAAGAGAAATCGAGGGAAGAGGGCCGTGGTCAACGAGGTATCTTCTGCTCAAGACATGATGGCTCATCAAATAGCTGAACTTACTGAGCAAATGCGGCTAATGAATGCACGAGGAAGTCAGTCAGTGCAGACCATGACAGTAGACACATGCGGGGCATGTGGAGTTCAGGGGCATAGATCCAAGGTGTGCCCATCAGCTTTCGACCAGGAGGTTGGAGAACAATATGCAGATGTCAACGTCCTCCAAGGTTATCAGAACCGGCAACCCAACGACCCCTACTCCAATACTTGCAACCCCGGGTGGAGAAATCACCCACACTTCTCGTGGTCAAACAACAGCAACACCCTCCAGCCACCTCGCCCAAACTTCAACCAACAGCAACCCCGTCCAAACTTCATGCATCAACAACCCCGCCCCAACTTTATTCCCCGTCCGAACTACCAACAACAACAGCAACCGCAACAGCAAGCCCAAGAGTCCGGTTTTAGTTCGTCGAACCAAGATGACAAGCTAGACAAGATCCTCCAGTTTATCACCAACCATGACTCATCTATTAAGCGTCTCGAGATGCAAGTGGGTCAGCTTGCCACGAGAGTTGGCAACATGGAGGCTGAGTCAGACAAAGTGAAACTTCCGAGCCAGTCTGAGAAAGCAAAGGCGATCACTGTGTTGAGGAGTGGGAAGGAAGTGGACAATAAGGTAAGAATGCCCGAGCCTGATGACCCCAAACCAACTGACCAGCCCAAGGAAACTGAGGAGGGCAGAAAGAGCACAGAAATCGAATCGGTAAAACCGTCAGAGAGTCCCTTACTTCACAAGTCTCCAAACCCTTACAAGCCACGCATCCCTTTTCCAAGCCGACTTCGAGATGAGAAACAAGTGCAGCAATTCTGGGACTTATACAACATGCTCTCAAAATTCAACGTCAACTTATCTCTCCTGGACGTGATAAAAAACATGCCATCTTACGTGAAGTTCGTCAAGGATTTGGTCACGAAAAAGAGGAAGTTTGCAGACGGGGAAAAAGTGGTGGTTTATGAGGCAGCGAGTGCCATGCAGCATGATCTCCCAAAGAAAGAACGGGACCCCAGGGGTTTTGTTATAAGAATTGCTCTAGGGAGCGGAAAGGAGGTTTTGGCGATGCTTGACCTCGGAGCGAGAATCAACCTTATGCCGTTCTCGATCTTTCAGCGATTGGGTCTCGGTGACTTGAGACCAACCCGTATGTGCCTCCAGCTGGCTGACCGTTCGATCAGATACCCCAAGGGGGTAGTTGAGGACGTCCTTGTTCGTGTCGGGAGGCTCATTGTCCCGGTAGACTTTGTCGTTTTGGATGTGGGGGACGTGCACGAGAATGGGAAGGATCACACTATCCTTCTTGGCAGACCGTTTATGGCCACCACCAACACCCTCATTAATGTTAAAAACGGAACCTTGAACATGACGGTCTTAGGCGAGTCCGTCTCTATCTCTGTCCGGGAAGCTACGTCCGCATATTCAGTAAACTTTGTGGAGGTGTGTGCATTTGTTGACGTAAGTGATTAGTTTGTCGAGGAAATGACCATTCGAGACTTAGAGGAGAGGACTATGCCCGATCTTGAAGAAGAAGAGGAGCCCACCATTGAGCTATTTGTAGCAGACGAGCCCGACAAACCGAACCCATCCACACTAGAGCTTAAAGAACTACCTCGCCACCTCAAATATGTGTTCCTCGACGATGAGAAACAAAAGCCGATTATCATCTTTGCCGAGCTTAACCGGGACGAAGAGAAGGAGTTGATTAGTGTACTAAAGAAGAATCAGAAGGCCATTGGTTGGAGCCTCGGTGATATCAAAGGAATCAGTCCTTCCACGTGTATGCACCGAATAATCTTAGAAGAGGGTGCCAAACCATTTCGGGATAGTCAGCGGCGACTCAACCCGAACATGATGGAGGTTGTGAAAAAGGAGGTATTGAAGCTCTACTCTGAGGGACTCATCTATCCAGTGGCCGACAGTGAATCGGTTTGCCCAATCCATGTAGTGCCGAAGAAAGGGGGCATCACGGTGATCGAGAATGAGAAGAAAGAGATGGTCCCCACCCGTATTACTACCGGGTGGCGAATGTGTATTGACTACCGGCGACTCAACGCCATGACAAAGAAGGACCACTTTCTATTGCCGTTTATCGATCAGATTCTCGACCGAC